AAGCCATAACCTGAAGAGGGGCAGTTTATATCCAGCCAGATCACCTTTCTGGCAGTTTAGTTTAACAGTCCCCGAGCTTGCAAAACCTCTGCTCCATCAGTAGGATTGGCTGCAGCTGTTTCATTTGACTTTGAAAGGCAGAAGAAATAAATCCCATTTGGTTCACTGGAAATCCACACACATGGAAAGCTGCAGTCCTTATCAACAAGGGGTTTTCCCCAAGATGAACTGTTAGCAATGGCAGGAGTTAATACTCATTGATGGAAGCAGAAAGGGGAGTGTGGGGGGGAGAAAGTAGCGACTTTCTTAGTAAGCCTCGAGTATAAGCTGTCCAAGAGTATGATCAACATTAAGATTTTCTTTGGACCTTACTTTCATGGACCTGGTAAAGTGTGCTCTGGCTAACTTATTCCTCAAATTTTGCCCTCAGTTGGGCAGGGGCATTCTGGTTCACTGATCTTGCAGGGTGTGGTGGGATTCTACAGGCCACCTGAGAAAACAAACACCCCTGCAGCCTCTCAAGACGAGCATCTCCAAGAGATTTGGGTTTTTTTCTCCCTACAGGAAGGAGGGGGCACAGAGACCATACTCATCATCCCTCCATCTGGTGTAATAGCAACTCAGATTGAAGCCAAAGGACCTCATACAGTCTGACGAGTTCTTGTGATCATCATAACTATTCTATTCTTCTTCTTCTTCTAAATAATTCTAATAATATTCTTAATAATTCTAAATTACTGTCCTCTATGCCACAGCTACTACTGCAGTATTACTTCTATAGCTGTCTTGCTTTTTCTTTTCCTTCCATACAAAACGTCTAAGCCAGCACTGCTCCAGCGCTCTTCATTTCCTCTCCCGAGAGAGGCATAGTACCAGAACTACCAAAAGCAAAATCAAACGTGGTGCCTTACAATGTTAATAAGGATGATTTGGCAGTGAATATTACACTCTTCATTTAAGTCAGACCACAACAGGATTCATCACAGGATGTCGGAAATCCAGACTGCTACCCAATGCCAGAAAGCACTTTTGAATTTTTCTCTCTGAAGGTGGTCTTTCATTGTTGCTAACTCCACCTGCATGTCCCACACAGCCACATCACTGAATTCGGCATCCTGACTAACAATGAGTAACATAAAAGCACTCACTGTGTTTTGAAGCAACTCTACAATATATTTTCCTTATAGCCACCTCAGGGCAAGCGTGGCAGCAGCACATGGTGACAGTGCTGCAGGGACACCCCGCAGCATCACTCTGGATGGACATGCGGCGTGCCCCACCCTGTGCTGGCAACAGGCAGGAGCTGCCACTCTCAAGTACCTACATGCCCTTGCCCTGGCCATGGGCAAAGCTGCTTCTGCAGCACTCCCTCGTGGTCTCCCTCATCCCACCTTTGCAAGCACCTATGCTTGGGTCTCAGCTCACCAGTGAACATGTAAAATATTAACCCCCATTTAGGGAGTAGGAAGTGAGGAAGCTACCTCTCCTTCACAATACATAGGAACAAGGAGAATCAATGTCTTTGGCCAGGTATCTACTTTCTCTAGTCCTTTTTAAATTATAAGATAAATGTCAGCCTGCATCTAGAAATAATGAGAACTATCTATTACTAAATGTAAGGGGGTAAAAAAACCCCAAAGGCTTCTGCTACATACTAGACTGATTAGAGACCGCAGGCTGCTAGCGATGATGATTCATTGCCTTGAAATGATTCTCCAGGAAAGCCAAACATGAGGGTTACTCTCTGTCCCTGAGCACCAAACTTGCTCATGTTCCTTTCTGTTGAAGAGCCCAGGCCCAGCTGAACAGAGGAATTCTCAGGCACCCCATCCATGCCCTGAAAACCAGTAGCCTCAGCTAAAAGGAGCTTTGGAGATTTATACTGCCTTACAAGGTGCTGGCACATTTAACAGCAACAAGGAATGCAGAGGACAGAGCGCATCAGATCTACAACAGTCATTATCAGATCTTGGAGGTGGGACATGGGAAAGAAGTCCTCTTCTGAGAGTAGTTGCCAAAACTCCTGGCAGTTGTCACCAAAACCAACTCCTACCAGCATCTTGTGGAGGATCCTCTTTTGTAATCTTATTCAAAACTGTCTCTAGAAAGCCCAAACTTTATAAAATACTTTAGAGTTTGGGACACCTTCTGTTTCCATCTTTCCCTTTCTCCCCCTCTCTCACACACATGCATGGATTTTTGGGTATGTGCCCCCTATGCCAAGATAAACTCTCATTTCCATTTGCTTCTCCTGAGCATATAACTCCTTATTCTTTTCTTGACAGTGAACTGAACAAAAAAAAAAAAAAAAAAAAAAAAGGGAGAGAGAGGAAAGCACACTTATACAAATGGGACACTACTACTAAGATGCCCCCAGGGGCTGTGTGCTATAAATCATACAAGTCCATCTGTAAAGGGAGGCAGCTCCCCTCCCAGACTATCATTTCCTGGACAAGCAGTGCAGCCAGTGCCTATCCCCCCTCCTGATTGCCATGGGTCTCCTGGTGTGACAGGAGCTCCTGCAGCCAGAGCAGACACCCTGGAAAAGGTCCTTCCTCCTTGTGAAGAGCCCTGAGCTACTCTGTAAAAGGAGATCAACACCCACTTTGCAAAGATGAGACCACAAAGGCAACAACAGTTACAGCCAAGCCACATTACAGTTATTATGTCTTTTAAACCCTAGTCTTTATTCTAAATTGATTTTTGCTTCTGCCCAGGAAGTGCCAGATCTTCTCCCCAACTCTGAACAAGGGCCAGCTCTAACCTCTTCCATTCGAATGGACACATGGTGGGCAGGGGAGAGACAGTACCCAACAACACTCATTTCCTAACGCTATTTTCCTCAGGGCTGTTTGTGAAGCGCCATCGTAAGACTAAACAACTTCCACACTCAAACACTGGAGCAGACCACGCTCAGGGACTCGCAGGCATCGTCTATCAGGTGCAAAACTGAGTCAGAATCAAGCCTGCTTAGCATTGCTCTAATGCATTTTACATCTCTCCGTGTTTTTAGAAGCCCCCCATCCTTCCCTACTGAGACATAAAAAGAAATAGCTTTCTGTACAAACACAAGACCCACTCTAAATAATCTCTGTACCATTCATAAATACAGAACTCAGGTAAGATTTCCTCCAACAGAGCCCCAGAATAAAACTGACAGTAGTACTTTACCCAGTTATTCCACTCCTTCAGCAAAGAGCTTCAGAAACTTCAGTCCAACCCAAGCACCTCTAATTCCCCTCTCCCCCTAAAACCAGCACAGCAGCTCCTCTCTCTTCAAATCCTGCTCCTGCTAAAAAGCATCACCTGAACGAGCCTCCTGCCACAATGAAGCAGCAACTGCAGCAATTGCACCAGGGCTTCTGCTCTCCCCATGTGGATTTATGGGTCTGAATAGTCTCTTGTTTTTACTTTGGGCTGCTGCATATACGATGCACCCCAAAATATTTTCAGCCAACTTTTACAATATTTGGAGCTTATTATATACTTCTAATCCCTTCAATCAAGTGATTACAAATGTAATCCTCAAAATAAATGAAATTAGACACTCCCAGTGCTCACAGTTGCAAAGTTTGAAAATAAGAGCCATTTTGACTAAGAGATCAGGATTTAAATAAATAAATAGAAGACAGTAAAAGAATCCAAAACATTTTAAATTCAATTATTTTACTACTATCCCATGATTTTGTTTTATTTTACTTTAAAGGCTCAAATATCTATTTTTTTAATGGCTGCAGGCCTCAACAACTGATTACGCAATAGGCATTTTAAGAAGCAAATCTAGAGTTTGAGTGGCAAGCCTCTGACACAATATGCGTACCCCAGGTGGCTGAAAGCCAGCGCTTGTAAAGAGACTTGCTGACATCAGGATTGTCCCTCCCTGCAGAGAGCGGCTCAGACAAGCAGGATTCCTTTTGAGACCTCAAGAAATTCAGACATTGATCCCATCAAGCTACCATATGTCAGAAGCAATACAGCATTTAATTTTGTTTCCATGCCACAAATTCACTCTGCCATTTTTAACTCCCCAGATAAATGCCTTCTCTTTACCTTCAGCAATGATTCCCACCATTTGTTTAACCCCTAAGTCCCTCATTCTTATGGATAAGGAGCCATTAAGAGTGTCAAATATGTACACAGAGAGAAAGAAATTCAACCTGCACGAGAATTGAACTTCAACAACTGGGACTCTTCTTCGAAGGTCGTGTGAGTTTGTATGTGGGTCAAAACATGGCATGGGAAATGCTTCAAATATTTGCTTAAAAAAATACAGTTTAAAAGAAGTACCAATTCTGTGTGTCTGCTTCTGAAATTTTACTTTAAAGGAAAGAGCACTCGCAGATGACTCCAAATTGAGCTCAGCTCTTCAGCAAATGTTTCTCCCTTGGTTTGTCATTGGGTCAGACAAATCACACCTCTGAGAACCACTCCGATTCAGAGGAGTCCCAAATAGGCTTTGCGGGTGGCCTCAGTGAACTTTCTGGTTGGTCTGTACTTCCCCCAGGGCTTAGCCCTTCTTCCAGAACAGTTTTTGGACTGACACTCCTTTCTGCTTCTTTCTCCCAGTCTTTCCCCTGTTGCAAAGACATTGTTTGTTCTTTCAGGTCATTCCTCTGAATTATTTCCAGTTCTTCAGAGAATATTTTGCAGACTGGCCCGGACTCTTCAGTATTCTTCTGAAATTGCACCTCTTCTTCAGGAAGCTTTTTCTGGCTCTTTCCCATTGTACAATTGTACAAGGAGTTTCTCCTTAAAGTTCCCTTGCTTTCCAATACACTGCTCCTGAGATCTCTCCAGGGCTTTCTGATCCCTCTCCTGTTCCTCCAGGGCTTTCTTCTGAGCTTCCTCTTGTTCACACAGGAGCTCTTTCTGAGCTCTCTCGAGTTGTAGGGCTTTTTTTTTTTCTTTCTCCAGTCCTTCCAAGATTTTATTAGCTTTTTTTTGATTTAATTTTTGATTTTGATTTAATTTTCAGCCCTCTCCTGCTCCTCTAAGGCTTGTTACTGTGTTTTTGCAAGTTCTTTCAGTATTTCCTGTGCTCTATCTTGTTCTCTTACAGCCCTTATCCGAGCTCTCTCCTGCTCCTCCACAGCTTTTCTTGGTGATAGCTGCAGTTCCTCTAGAGCCTGCTGAGCTCTCTTCTGTTCTTCTAATGCAGCCCTCTGAGATCTTTCTTGCTCTTGTAGGGCCTTTCTATGAGCTTTCTCCAGTTCCTCCAGAACATTTTTCTGAATCATCTCCAATTCTTCCAGGGCCTTTTTCTGAGCTCTTGCTAGTTCCTCCAGGACTTTTTCAACTCCCTCTTTTTCTTCCAAGGGTTTCTTCTGAGATCTCTCACGTTTTTCCTTGGCTTCCTTCTGTTTTTTTATCAAGCCTATCAAAGCCTGCTGTTGAGATTTCTCCAGTTCCTGAAGAGTCTTCAACTGGTTTCTCTCTTCTTCCAACAACTTCTGTCCATTCTCTTGTTGCTCCAGAACTTTCCATGGGGCTTTCTCCTCTTCTCCTCAAGCCCCATCTGTTGAGTTTTAAACTGCTCTTTCAACTCCATCTGCAAAGCAATCAACTGTTGCTGAAGTTCCAGGTACCACACTGACTCCTGCAAAGCTTTGTTCCAGACTCTCCTGTTGCTCTGTCACCTGCTGCGGTGTGTTCTCCTGTTCAGCTAACATCTGCTTCACTTGTTCTTTCTTCATGGCCTCTTCCCAAGATTTGTCTTTCTCCTGAGAGCTGTCTTGTTCCTCCAGGGCTGCTTTCTTAACTCTTTCCATATCTTTAGGGGCTTTGTTAAGTTTTTAATCCTGCCTCGTTTGGTTCCTTCATCTTCTCTGCTACATCCACAAAGTCATCTTCCCTTTGCTTTCTTTCCTGAATTCTTCTCTGGACTTCTGTTAGCATGGAATTGGTGTCTTCATTATAACCCAGTTGGCAAGCCAGTTCAAGGTCTCTGGCAGCCTTGTGCCAAGTGACCCAGGAGCTGGAATGCCTTCCCTTGCCAGTGGTAGGGCTGTGGAGAACCAGGGTCGGTTTTTATTGCTTTGTCACAGTGCCTAATGGCAGACAGTGGTTTCAGCAACCTCAGGTAGACACTGGCTCAGCTTCCATATAAGAAGACTGCAAGTTGTGGGTTGAATCTAATGGCATCAGTGAACAACTCAACAGTTTTGTGAAATTTACCTGCTCCCAGTGCATGAAAGGCTTCCTTTTCCTTTCCAATGGCCTGTTTCATCATCTTGTTAGTTATCTTCAGGTTGTCATCTCCTATTTTCTGAAGATCTTCTTCAGCCTCTCCAGCCAATCCTTCATTTTCAGTATTGACTTCACTGTTCTCAGTCTTTGATTCTCCACTGAGCTTTTCCTGCCCCTCAGCTTCCATGTAATACTCACTCTCTTCTAGTAGATGTTGCTTTTGCTCTTCAGATTCCCTACAACAGTCATTATCAGGTTCCTGGGAAGTCCAAAGGTGAACCTGTCCATGCTGCTGGTCCTTCTGAAGCTGCGCTTTTTCCTTTTCTTGAGAAGTTGGAAGCTGATCCCGCTCCTCTTCTGCCATGAATTTCCCCACCCTTGGCAATGCATCCAATGATTGCTTTGTGTTTTGTTTCTCCTCATACTTTTTTTGGTGCCTGGCAATTTTCTGGACTCTTCTGTGAACTTCCTTCAACATATTATTGGTATCTTCATCATATTCCAGCTGGCAGGCCAGTGCAAGGTCCTTGGCAGCCTGCTGCCAGTGACCCAGGAGCCGAAAAGCTTTCCCTCTCCACTTGTACGGCTGTGTAGAATTCAGATAAATTTTTATGGCTTTGTCACAATCTCTGATGGCATTTGGCTTTTGCAACCATACAAAGACACTGGCTCGGTTGATATAAAAAGTACTAAGCTGTGGGTTCAGTTTGATGGCATCAGTGAAGAGCTGAACAGCTTTTTGAAATTCACCTCTTCCCACTGCATCAAAAGCCACCTTTTTCTTTTCATCAGCCTGCTTCATCACATTGCTGGTTACTTCCAAATTCTCATCTCCCATCTGTGGGGGTTCATCCTCTTCTGGCTCAATCTCCCCTTCATTGTCTGCCTCCAACTCACTCTCATCCCTCCCCAGCTCTTCAGTGGATTCTTCCTCCCTCTCAAACTTTGCCTGAGCCTCAGAATCTAATTTACAAGCCAAGGAAATGCTACAGGCAGCCTCTTTTAAACACCCCAAAAACTGGAGGGCTTTTCCTTGGAATTTATAGTCTTGTGCTGAACTGGGATTGAGTTTAATAGCTCTGTCACAGTCACTAATGGCCATAGTTGGCACTTGGAACTGCAAAAAGACAGTGGCTCTGTTAATGTGTGAGCTGGCAAGGTCTGGATTCAGCTTGATGACACTGGACAGCATATCAACTGCTTTCCTATTTTCACCGTCAGCTAGGAAATCAAAGGCCTCTCTTGGTTTTTTTCAATAATCTGCTTCATCACCTCCTCTGATAGCCCTAAATTTTATCCCTCTTTTTTTTTTTTTTTTTTTGTGGATTATCTGTTTGTGGATCAGTTGTCTTCTCTTTAGCATTTTCCAAACCATGCTCACCCTCATCTTCTAGAAACTTTCCTGCTGCTGTAACTAGCTCCTTTGCATCTGTTTTGCTTGAAGCAGGTGGTAAGTAATTTTCTGTACTTCCTATGGATTTACAGAGAAAGCGATGATCCTCAGAATTTAGAAAAGATGGGTCTGATTTTGCCAGTGTGTTCCTTGAAGGCATGGTGCTTAGATCCCAAAACGATGATATGACACAGAATTTGTTGTCACTGAAAGCAGAGGAAGAGAGATAAGATGAAAAATGGCTTACCTGAGAGCTCCGACTATTAAATTAGTGCCAGTATTCAGGCAAGCTTCCCTCATCTTCATCCTTCTGTTGTCTTGCTGCTGGACCTAATTAAGGGGTTAAGGCCAGCTGCAGGGTCCCGGTGACTTCAGGAAGTAGAATAGAATTTGTCACTTCATATATTGTGTCATCACTGGAATCCTGAAATGGCTTCTTGAAGTCGTATCACACCGGAAGAGGTCCCTGTAATCTTTCTTCTTCAGTTTATTGCCCATTTTACACACCACAGGTATGTGTGTGCATCTCTGTGTGCGCATGCCTGTTACAAAGAGCAGAGACAGGACTGGAGAGTCTGTTTATTTTTTTTCACATTTAAACAAAAACATCTTTTATGAGGCACAACCAACATGAAGGCAATAGCAGCTGGATAAGAATTTTGTGTTTAGACATAGAATCATAGAATCATTTAGGTTGGTAAAGAACTTTAAGATCATCAAGCCCAACTTTTAACCTAGCACTGCCAAGTCCGCCACTAAATCATCTCCTTTAAGCTTTGGTCAAGTATTTTCCCTTACAAATGAAAAACGAAAACTAAACAGCTTGTCCTGACAATAACACATGCCTATTGGGAATATGAAAACCAAAAAAAAACCTGTGCAGCACAGTTGCATGCAGTATCCTTTGTTAGGACACTTTGCAAAATTTTGTAAAACTAACTTTTTCTAAGTTTATACATTTGCTTCTCAGGAACATCTTTATAGCTCCAAAGATCACTGGAGGGACAACTTAGCTGCATCCAGAAGAGCCAAGAAATCTTGACACACAGAAAAATCTTAGGGTCTCAGTCATTGCTTATTTCCCTTCTCCCTTGCTTCTGATATTCTTGATGTGCTTCTTCCCTTTTCTGAAACAGCAAGTCCTGAATCCTATTTCTTAACCCATGTTTTTCTTCACGTACCACTGGCTTGCATATTAAGTCCCTATATCTTACGGACTTGTAAAAAATATGTGGACTTGAGGCTACATTACTTTTTTGTCTTTCAGTCCTTGAACTATCTTTTCTAATTTTGCTAACAAGTAAACTTAAAATTATGTTTGCAGAATCTCAGCAATATTGATCAGCATAAGGATAGCAAAACCCAGCAAACCCAGAGCAAAAATGAACAGTCCAGATAGATAGGCTCAAGAATTAACACTGATGCAACAGAAATTTGTTTAATCATCTGCCACATCTGCAGAACCCAAACAAAATACAGTTAACCTAAATAAACTAAATCTACTCTTTTGTACATCTCTTTCATTGAAAAAAAGCAGTCTGTGGTGGTCACTGTTTTGAGGATAATAATGCCATCTAGTGAGAGAAAAGGCTTACTTACATTCTCTTACAAGTACAAGACAGAATATTGTAGATTTACCTGTTGAAATGATTGCATGAAAAGTGCACTACAGGAAATAAAATGTCTTCTCATGAGGCCATTTCTTTTTTTAAAGGCAAGATGTGAAGAGATTTTTCTGCAACACTTGAATATTAATTTGTATGGGAAGATTTTATTACCTCTTCTGGACTTGCCTATTATACATATATATTAAAAAAATAATGTAAATAGTTTTTTTCTTATGGAATATTTTTCAATAAACAGTAATTTTTTTCACTGGTTTTCCTTTAAAAAGCTATCTGATAACAGATAACAATGACAATTGGTCAGATAAAAACAGGTTTCAAAGTTGATTTTTTTCCTGTTCTTTTGTCGACTCCAAGAAAGGCTGGCCTCTGTCTGTCTGTTAAGTACTTCTTTTTTTTTTAATCCATATGTTACGATCACGCACTGAGAAATCTAAGAAAATATGAAATACACATCTATGCACGCAGACAAATATTCCTGGGCTAACACATCCAGAGAAATCTTAGACCAAGGTTGAGAGTCCCCAACTTCCATGCAGACAAAAATGTCCAGGCAAAAGAAGAGAGTATGCCTGCAAGAAGAATGGAGGTAGAGATGCCTTAATTATCTGTAGAGGAAAGACCTCAGGTAAGTCAAATGCTTCTCTTGCGTATAACCCCTTTGCACCGCTGCATCTCATAGCACAAGAAATGCCACGGTTGGTGCAGCTAGCAAAGGGAGCGGAGGAATTGGCACCTTGCTAACACGTAAGGCCAGTGCAGCTACAACAGAGGTTCCTTTGCTTTTTCCACTTTTGACACCCAGCCTTCTCCAAATGCTCAGCTTGGTGAGCTTATGCTTACATTAGGCTAAAAATATTCAAAATATATTATGTGGGGTCCTCACAGAGGAGGGATGCAAACATGAGAGGTAAAGACGTACTGAGACTCTACGCCTGACCCCAGCAGCAGAGAAACGGGGCTCGAGGCTCACCTCCCTCCTCAGCACTGGGGGAGCCTGCACGCACCCCTCACAGCAACATGGCCCGGGTAACAACAGCGATAAGGCAGGAATGTGAACGTAAACTGTGTGTGGGAATAAAATGCCTGTAACTGTTCTGGGAGAAAACTGGTCATGCTAGGAGCAATTCAGCAGTGCCAAAACCCGCCTGAGACAATCATTGGGTGGATTAAGAAGTAACTGGGACACTTTTGAAACAAGGCATCAGCTTGAGAAGAAGCATAAAAGAAGCCTGTCCATTTGTGGCTGTGAGAAGTGGGATTGGAGCAGCAGTCAGAGGGGTTTGGCAGAGCCAGAAGCTGCTCCCCGTGGGCATCACCACCTCTGCGAGCTGCCCCCACAGCCGTAAGCATCCCACCTCCCATGCCCCCCAACAGTGGGGGATGCTAGGTGTGCACCTGTAACCCACACTGCCGTGGGGGTGCATGTACCCACAAATATGTGTTCATGTATATGTTTGGGATGAGCTGCAGAAAAGTGCTTAGAAATGCATAGGTGTTAACACCCTATGTCTGGTATTGGGGTTCACCTGTTGCATTGCTTATACTGATCCCAAAGGTTCACGGATTGCTGGTTACTTGTCATTAATAAATCAATAGGTCCCTCTGAGTCTGATTTAAACCACGTGAGTTGACCAGTTTTTCCCCGAAACAGCAATACCCCATCCACCATGGTAGATCTGTGAAGCTCCTTTGGGCACTTGATTCTTCCCACACAAGGACTGATGCATCTTCTCAGAAGTATGAGTTGCTCTGGCTGTTAGGTCACCTTCAAGTTTGTTGTTGCCGCGTCTATACCCCATGATATTTAGCTCCATGAAAGCACTGGGTACCCAGCAATGCCTGAAATAAACTTCTGGCAAATACGTATATGTTTATTACTCAAGATTTGCTCTTTTAGTTTGACAAACTGTAAGATGGATCCCCTGGCAGAATTATGACTTCACAATTCACAGCTGTTATTTATGCTCTATAAAATGTCACCACATCTGCTACTGTAAATAAATGCAGTACTGCAATGCGATTTTAAGCTCAGATATAAACAAGCAAAAGTTGTTTCCAAACAATGGCATAAAAGGCAATAAAGCTGAAATAACCTTGAGTATTTTAAACACTGAAAGGGTATCAATCCATTGAACTTTTATAGGATGAGATGCATAGGAGAACAGAAAACTTCTGTTTTCTGTCTGAGTAAATTCGAAGTTTTCAAGTGGGCTTTTTTGCATTTTTCATCTGCTCCTATGCCATCTTGTCATTCTCGGTCCTCATATTTAATATTCACAGAAAGACAGGTGCCCCTTCACATAGTGCCTCAGGATCTGTCACCTCTGGGCTCTTCAGAACTGCCACAGGCACGCTGACAGTCACAACCAGAAAGGGATGTCCTGGGACACCGAGCCAGACCTGCAGGCACCTCCTGTGCAGGCTCATGTCGCATAGCACTCAGGCTAGCAGTCTCCCTGACCTGGCTGGCAAAAGGAACATGCACACTTGCCTTGGGGCAGCCAAATGACTCCAACTCTTCTTTCCAGCATTGCGAAATAGCTTTGATCAGTGAAAAAGCATCAGTTCTTGCAATGCAAACAACTAAAATTTAGAAACATCTCATGAAACACTTTGAGAAATGTAATCACTGTGACAAGGGATGCTAACCCAAATGTGCACTTCCAAACACACAATCTGATTCTTACAGTTTGCAATGGATCTCTACTCCCCATATTTTATTTCCTTCAGTACCAAGAAGTAACTCCTCTAACATGCCTCACCTAGAGCACAAGAACCTGTCCTGGTCTCCTAAATTCCAGTCAGATCTTCACTTCTTGGGCTTTTCTAAGAGGAGTCCCTGGAAAAATAATCAGAAAGGGACACTGGAGAAAGCATTGGAAGGCCAAAGGCTGGACAGTCAAATCTTGGGCCACTATGTCCATTCGTTGGGGCATACTAACAGCCAGTCTCCTAGAAGTAATCGTTACTGGGATAGGCAATGATGAGAACTTTTTCCAAATGTGCAGCTCTATCCACGTACCCCAGAGACGTAGGCTGGTGCCAGAGGAGCCAGTGTCCATAGGTCAGTAGCCACCAGGA